TGGGGTAAGGGAATTATGGGTTTAGACAAGGTTACCCTGCTCCGAGGTCGCAACTTAAACTTTGTGCCGCCAGCAATTCGTACTCAACTAGATTACAGGGAGGATTTCATTTCCTGGTTCTTGGTCCCTGGTCCCTGGTTCCTAGTTCCTGGTTCTTGGTCCCTGGTCCCTGGTTCCTAGTTCCTGGTTGCTGGTCCCTGGTTCCTGGTTCCCGGTTCCAGGTTCCTAGTTCCTTGTTCCTGGTTCACAAACCAGGATTCTGGTTTCTGATTCCTGGTTCTAGGCTCCTGGTTCCTGGATCCTGGTTCCTGGTACCTGGTTCCTGGTTCCTGGTTCCTAATTCAGCGACCAAGGTGCAAGCTACCGAAAGTCAGGAAAAATAACGCTGACTGGGACAGTTTAAGGACTAGCCTAGTTCGAACTAATCTGGGAAATAAACAATTAAGAATTCACAAACTACGTAAAAACATCATTTTCTTCCTTACTGAACTGATCATTTGTCACAAACTGCATTTATTCCTCTTTCTATCTTTGTAACCTGATGTCGAAGGATTTTCAAATTTCCAACTATGAAGTCTGTCAGATCAAATTGTCAAAGTTTGAAATATGAATCAGGTTGTAATGATATAATGCTTCTTAAGTAAAGTTGTTAAGTTTTTTTACAAATTTGTTTCTAACGCTTAAAAAAGGACCATTCTTTAAAAAGAAACCTAAAAATTAAATCATTCACAAGTTTGTTGAAAACATTGAAAACTACGAGACAAGAGATAAGATGGTTTATATCAAAGCCAAATTAAATATTACATCATTCCCATCAGATAACATTTAAACCTGTTTTCTTAAACTTAAACCTGGATAATCAGAATTGTCAATCTCTAATATGTCAAGTTAGAGTAAATATTTCTTAAATACCTGTCACTGCCAGAACTGAGAGAATGGCCGCTAGATGGCCCAACATATTTAAAATATAATACTGTTCAGTGCACGCGCCTTATCTCTGAACAAAACTGATTGAGAATATGAGATGCGCGTATACGCACGCACATAACACGCTCAAGGTAGAGTTGGGCTGGCGCGCTCCCTCTAAGAGGCACCAGAGCTCAGTGAAAGTTGAAAGTGTAGATTTAGGATTAAAGGTCAATTTAGGGCCTTTAACCCCCTACAGGATAAAGAAGATATAGGCCTACTTCCTACTCCAGGATAGAGAAGATATAGGTCTACTTCCTACTCTAGGATAGAGAAGATATAGGTCTACTTCCTGCTCCCCAGGATAGAAGAAATAGGCTACTTCCTACTCCAGGATAGTGAAGATATAGGCCTACCTCCATACTCCAGGATAGAGAAGATATGGGCCTACTTCCAGGATAGAAGATATATAGGCATACTTCTATTGCCTATATATATTTGTATAGTTAAAGTTAGGATAATACAAGGGTTTAGAATAGTTTAGGAGAGTACAGGGGTGCAGGATAGTTTAAGAGAATACAGGGGTTTAGGATAGTTTAGAAGAATACAGGGGTTTAGGATAGTTTAGGAGAATACACGGGTTTAGGATAGTTCAGAAGAATTCTAGGGTTTAGGATAGTTTAGGAAAATACAAGGGTTAAGGAAAGTTTAGGAGAATACAGGGATTTAGGAGAGTTTAGGAGAATACAGGGATTTAGGATAGCTTAGGAGAATACAAGAATTTAGGATAGTTTAGGAGAATACAAGAGTTTAGGATAGTTTAGAAGAATACTAGGGTTTAGGATAGTTTAGGAGAATACAGTAGTGCAGGATAGTTTATATGAATACAGGAGTGCAGGTTAGTTTATGAGAATACAAGGGTTAAGGATAGTTTATGAGAATACAGGGGTTTAGGAAAGCTTAGGAGAATACAATGGTTTAGGATAGTTTAGGAGAATACAAGGGTTTAGGATAGTTTAGATGAATACTAGGGTTTAGGATAGTTTAGGAGAATACAGGGGTTAAGGATTGTTTAGGAGAATACAAGAGTTTAGGATAGTTTAGGAGAATACAGGGGGTTAGGATAGCTTAGGAAAATACAGGGGTTCAGGATAGTTTATGAGAATACAAGGGTTTAGGATAGTTTAGGAGAATAAAGAGGTTTAGGATAGTTTAGGAGAATAAAGAGGTTTAGGATAGTTTAGGAGAATACAGGATTTAGGATAGTTTAGGAGAATACAAGGGCTAAGGATAATTTAGGAGAATACAAGGGTTTAGGATAGTTTAGGAGAATACAGGGCTTAGGACAGTTTAGGAGAATACAAGGGTTTAGGATAGTTTAGGAGAATACAAGGGCTAAGGATAATTTAGGAGAATACAAGGGTTTAGGATAGTTTAGGAGAATACAAAGGCTAAGGATAATTTAGGAGAATACAAGGGTTTAGGATAGTTTAGGAGAATACAGGGCTTAGGATAGTTTAGGAGAATACAGGGCTTAGGATAATTTAGGAGAATACAGGGCTTAGGATAGTTTTGAATAAGATTTTAGTTTAGTTTAAATTCGAAGGACCGTATAAGGTTGAAGAAAATCGGAAAATTTCTTAATAAAATCATTCAAAGTGTTCCAGAAATGTTCAAGAAATGAGAAAATAATATGGAAAATTTAAATAATTTATCAGAAACACGTTTTATAGATTTCCTGAAATTTGATTTGATTTGTTTACTTTATTCACAATTCTACGGACACGGTTTTTAGTGGAAGAACAAGTCTTAAGGATTTCTGTATTCTGTCGAGAGGTTTGGTGATTTTATAAGTGAGAAGTGTCAGCTGAAAGGACCGACAATAAAACTACAAGTGAAATATATGCTCAGCGCTTAGAGCCGACCGATTAAGGGACTGGAAATGTGTTTTCAATTAGGACCCTTCATGCAAAGATGGCAATGCATGATTCACAAAGATACCTTTTAAACCTTTATCTGATGATGTGTGCTTTTTTTGATTTTTACTAATCTTACTTCTATCTGTTGCGTCTATAAGGAGAAAATTGTTAAATTTAGATGTCAGGTAGATTAATATAGATTTTAAACTTTATATTTTTCTTAATACCATTTTTTAGGGGGGTGCACATCAACCGTTAGGGGGGTACACAAAAAAAATTTCGGGGCGCTTAAGCACGCCAAAACTGCACCCCCCTAGGCTATACCTCCACTACGCTCCTGTAAAGGGACTATAGAAGTTTAAAGTGAGTCCCCATTAACAGAGCAGCATGTCTGATTCACAACGTCGTACCGTGTTAATCTTTGGTGTCAACCTTTGTCTGATCAAGTGCATGAAATCAATGAGATATTCTTATTTTCTAAGCTTAAAACCGATCATTTTTAGTTAGGATTTTTCGAAGAAGTGAAATGCGGATTTCTGCTACATAAAAAATGCAGCAGATTGTTAAGTTAGTACATCGACGATACCTTTTAAGTTGCATGTTTAGATAAAGCTAGGTTCAATTGGTACTGTTTAAGTTGCATGCTCAGATAAAGTATAGGTTCAATTGTTCAGAATCAAACTTGCCAATATTTCTAATTGAGAATCAATGGAAATTTGGTCTATAACTAGACTTTTATAATCCTTTAGTTTTCTTTAACATTTGGTTATAGCCTGACAAATTATTTATATTTTTGAAGCATTCTTGAATCCGGCCGACGCAAATATATATCAGAAATCGACATGGTATAGCTACGAAAGATCAAGTGCAATAAATTCGCCAGGAAGACCAATGTCTTCCAAAGAGAGACTTTAGAAAAGACGGAAATAAAAAATAGAAATTTAAAAAAAAGGAAGGCCAAAGTAAAACGAGGCTAAAAGAGTAAAAAGGAAATAAAACTTATTTTGTTTAATCTATATAATAAATTGCTCTTTGCTCATATATATGTATATCTGTCAGCCATAGCTGGCCAAACGGCTGAACCAAATCGGCTGAATTTTTTCGATGAAAATCGGGGGTAACAAAGGCTAAAAGATAAATTTTTCTTTTAAATTTAATATTTCTTCTTCAAAGATAGACATTTTTTAAAAAGTGTCTCAAAACTTCCACGGGCAACGCCTGGCACTCAAGCTAGTTTAGAAATATTCTTAATAATTTTATTAACTGTTTTCTTTGAGAATCTTAGTTTTGCATGGAATTATTATAGTTCTTAAACACTTTAGAACTAAGTAAAACGCAAAGGCATTGAACGTCTTAGTCAGAATCTGAAATGTTCTAACCTTATATCGTTTTATAGCATCATGTTAGACAGTTTGATATTTCAAACTTAGATAATTATAATTTCAAATACATAAGGCCTAAAACATTGGGTTGCAAAGATATTGGGATTTAAAATCTGAGTTTGTGTCTAAGACTCGTTCCTTTACATTACCTTTATTTATATTACATTTAAAGTACTAGCCTCAGAGGGCGCTTTGCGCCCATTTTCTAAATTAATTGTGAACATCTTCTCTTTGTGTACATCGTAAAACAAAACAAAAATAATTCGCGGATTTTCACAAAAAAATTCGTGGATTTTCAAAATTTTCAAAAAATTAATGTAGATCGAATTTTGATGGAGACAAATATCTGAAATTTTGATCATTCATAAACCTTCCCTGTGGTCCCTTGATGTCCCACAAAAAATTTGGGCCCGATCGGTTCAGCCGTTTTGACGTTTATTGGATACAAACAAACAAACAGACAAACAAACAACAAAAATATCCTCGTCATTATTTCTTAAAAATATTTAAACTCTGGCAATTTGCTTCACTGTCTCTGCTGCATAAATCTAACAAATAAAGGGTCACTTGAAATTACTTAATTCAGGTTAACCACCAAATGTTAGGTTTGGAAAATATTTTAGAAGACAAAAATACAAACAAAAAAATCATATTTCTATTCAACCACAACGTATAAAAAAAAGCAAAAAAATAACTAGTATTTTTACTAACTAAATTTGCAGGCCCGCCTAATCAGGTTACGTTTTTGTTATGGTTTTAGCCAATATATAGTTTATAGAAATTAGGAGTAAAGACTGGATTGAATATTAGGAGAAGAATCTGGTATAGATGTAGATATAGGGTTCAGAGGAATAAAGACAGGATAGAATATTAGGAGAAGAATCTGGTATAGATGTAGATATAGGGTTCAGAGGAATAAAGACAGGATAGAATATTAGGAGAAGAATCTGGTATAGATGTAGATAGGGTTCAGAGGAATAAAGACATGATGGAATATTAGGAGAAGAATCTGGTATAGATGTAAATAGGGTTCAGAGGAATAAAGACAGGATGGAATATTAGGAGAAGAATCTAGTATACATAGATAGGGTTCAGAGGAATAAAGACAGGATAGAATATTAGGAGAAGAATCTGGTATAGATGTAGATAGGGTTCAGAGGAATAAAGACAGGATGGAATATTTGTAGAAGAATCTAGTATAGATGTAGATAGGGTTCAGAGGAATAAAGACAGGATGAAATATTAGGAGAAGAATCTGTTATAGATGTAGATAGGGTTCAGAGGAATAAAGACAGGATGGAATATTTGGAGAAGAATCTAGTTTACATAGATAGGGTTCTGATTTATACTTGAGAATAAACCTTTTCAAAATCAATTGTTACGTATTGTACCTTTTGACAGAACCAGGTGAGTTGTGTCCTGGTTCATAATAGCTTGATGGATATCTACACTTGTCTCCCTGTGTGACATATAGAGCCAGGTGGGTTGTGTTCTGGTTAATAGCTTGTTGAATATCTACACTTGTCTCCCTGTGTGACATGTAGAGCCAGGTGGGTTGTATTCTGGTTGAATTTGATAGCGGACGGATTAAACCTGGATATATATGTTTCAAGAACTTTTTATTGATAAGATGTTTATTACATTAAGTCCAGGGGTTCCTGAGTTATGATCGGACAAACAAACAAACCAACAGAAATTTGCAACTTTATATTCACAGAAAACTAGCTGAAGTGGCCGGCCTGGCCCTTGAAATTTTTTTTGCCTTTTTTACCCCTGGGATACCCCTGGTTCCCTCAAAAAATGTCAGCCCATTCGGTCCAGCCGTTTGGCGGAGGTATATGGAACAATTTATACGAATGTTGTTGTTTTATTATATAGATATGTGAGTCCGTACAATAATGTTCTTTATTTAACTTCAATTGTCTAACTTATGCAGAAACTTTCTACCGTAGTTTCAATATTTTGTCCAGGCATTTTTAGATTAAATGCAGTAAACTTGGGTCAAGAAGGTACATTTCTAAGAGGGTTGTAATTGTACACTTTCACAAACTTATCTAATTTTTATACATGAAAAGTATTAACATTTTCTGTCATCAAACATTTTAACAATATAGTGTGATTAAAAAATATATATAATGAATATATATACAGTCAAATTGTCTTGCATGTACTATACATAATCTCTCCTTCAAACAAAACTATATGCAGAAAAAAGCATAGTTTTTAAAAAATCGACATTTTATCATACTGTTACGTTAGTAATAAATAGAATTTAAACTAGAGATAATCATTTTTGAAAATGGAAAACCCGACTTAAACTCAAATTCTGTAAGTTGAAAAAAAGGACAAAGGTCCAAAAAATAATTATGACTTGTAAGATATCTGTTTTGAAAAAAAGTAGGAGTACAATTGTAATCTATATAATAAAGCTCTTTGTTTATTTATATGTTTGCTATGGCTGGCCAAATGGCTGAATCAAATGGGCTGATTGTAGTGAGGAAACTCAAGATACTATTGGGGATGACATAAGGTAAATAAATTACAAGTTTTTGGTTTCATTAGATTTTTAAAATTCCACGGGCAACGCCTGGCACTTCAGCTAGTTTGTAATACAAAGAAAGATTACAAAACGGCGGTGGAATGAATAAAGTAAATCAAATCCAGATAAGAAACAAAAAATGGTCTTTTACTACCTCCAAACTCAAGCCTTCGTGGCTTGGCCTTTAAAAATAATTGTTTTATTTCTCTATCCCTGATAGCGCCCATCCGATTAGGATGAATGTGCATTAGATTTTTCATTTGGACTTCTGTCATGGTGGCTCTGGTCCACAATTATCTTCTTAATGCACTGAATGAACAGCAAACTAATTTTTTATGTTCTTCACTAAATTGTTTAAGATGTTAAAAGTGTGAAAGCTCTGAGTTCTAGGGGGGTGCACTGCCCACTTGCCCCCCTGTATAATCCCTTGCAGCTGCAGATTACAAAAAATGTTTTAAAGATTGCTACAGGTTTTTAAAAATCATTTTTTCTAAATTATCAAATAATTTAATCGGGTCGATTCTATAGCTTATGATGTATAAAGGTTTATATGTTATTGGAAAACTTTTATTAATACCTGTCGGTAGGGGGGGGGGGTATGTGCACACTGCACCCCCCACCCCCCGTGGGGTTAGGGCTGGTAGGGCCGAAGGGAAAAAGATTTGTTATGAGGAAAAAACCCAAGTATATTTATCTGCATGTTGGCTTACAATTTTAACCTCTAAATAACCTGTTTCTTAAATATTGTATATTCTTATGATGTATATTTCTGGACCTACGCCTATCCGTCCTACTGCCCATCCGACCAACTGTGCATGCGTGGTTATACAGCTGCTTAAGATGGACTTCGGCCGCAGCGCCCGGCCCCCTAGCAGCTGTCCTATCCGCGGCGCTCGACCCCCTAGCCAGACTATAGCCTCAGCGCTCCGCCCAGAAATTCTATTAACCTAATTTCTAACCAGTGGCGTACACAGGGGGGGGNTAGGGGGGGGTATTTACCCCCAGGATTCTAGGGGGGGGTAAATAACCCCAATAACCCCCCTTATATCCGCCACTGTCTGCAAGTATAAATAAAAAAATAAACAGCCATGGCAGCCATGCCTGGCGTATATAGGTCCGATATTGCAGTAGGTCGGAAAGTTAATATAGTTCAGAAGTTCAGTAGCTAGGGGATGTTGCGTAAAATTACCGAATCGACTCAGCTTCTGCTTTTAAGCGTAAGATAAACAATTTGTACGTTCTAGAATTCAGATTTTTCAGCTAAACCTGCAGGGTAATGTTATACATCGTCTATACGCAATATCCCCCCTACTGAACTTCCGACCTACTAACTTTCCGACCTACTGCAATATCGGACATACGTCAGTTGTTTATTTTTGTATTATTTGAGGGTTAGGTTAGGTTAAAACAATTTCTGGGCCGAGCGCCGCGGCTAGGACAGGCCAGGGGGCCGGGCGCTGCGGCCACATGTCCAGCTGTAAAACCACGTGCTAGTAGGTCGGATGTGTTGTATAGCGGATTTGGCGTAGGTCAGAAGTGGAGTATAGCGGATATGTGTAGGTCGAAAAATACACCACCACCTGCAGTAGTAAGAGATCGCTGCTGGGTGATAATATCAATATCGTTATAATATGAAAAATTGAAGAAATTCCCTTTTTAAAGTCAATTAGATGCCTGGTTAACGTAACTTAATAAGTTTTAACAATGTAAGTTTCCAGTAAAAAAAGGATTAAACCAGATTCAGCAAAGACGATATGTTCGAAAAAATTCTGACGTAATCCGCGGGAATGAACTAGTGTAAAGTGTACAGTCTCCGGTGATTGGTGAATTGAGTAAGCAACTAAGCAGACACAGGACGGTGGAACTCCGAGCGTGTGTCCTTGATTATAATAATTGCATGACTGCAATATTCGACCTGGTTTTCCTGGTTAAATAAACCTTTACGTTGAATCGGATTTTAGTTATATTAATTACGATTTTCAGAAAGCCAAGGAACGGGTTTTAATTTGCAACGAAACCTCCATTGTAAAAGGTATCCTGGGGCTTTCTTTTAACAGACTTTCTCAATTTGGAAAGTATCCAAGGGGGATTGAACTAGTGGACTTAGAACAGGAGCAGGAGCAAGATGTATAGAACACGGCAGGCCTTTAGTAGCTTGCTACCCTTCACACCGCTCTCTAACGTAGGCAAGTACTTAAAACCGGCTAAAACTAGTTTTTTTTTAAGGAATTCCGTTAAATTTGCAAATTTCACTGCCTTTGTGTAAAAACCTGCATTGCATTAATAGTTAATTATGCGGAGAGTGAAAGCTTTGGGTTCAACCCATTGACCCACAAAGTACTAGGAGTCTACGATCATATTTCAGTTAATATACTTTAATGGCGGCCTCATAGTTACATATTTTAGTTTATACATAATTTAGCAAAACTAGTCAAAACTTGTGAAATGTGAGGAATCTTAATTTTGCGGATTTTCTTTTCTTTCCCGTGGATTTTTTTCTGTTTCAGTCAGGCATCGATACTGATTTTGATATTCACCATTTTCATTGCTTATAACAACTTTTGATAAACAGAATCGGTTAAGATAAATTCAAATACTTTGTTTCGGTTTAAATTTAAAAGTTGCGATTGTAAAAAAGTTGTCGATAATTAATGCCAAAATTGGCGAAAGTTGAGCATCTTGTTCTGATCAGTCAAACGTTATCGGTGATGTTTTTCGTCGTACAATTAAAGGAAATTGTTCAGAAAAATAATTAAGTGTATATTGTATATTGGACATGAGTTGTAAGAGCTTAAGGGTTATATTAATTTTCTACCATGTTTAGAACGGTATTCATCATGGTTGGTTCGCTCCCAGATATCTCCAGCTGCCAAATCCATGTCTTGTCCTGGAACTCCCTTGAAGAGAGGATTTGCTGCTGCTCCTCCTCCTCCTCCCCCGGCAGAACCTGAAGCTCAGGAGAGCTTCCTCAATGGAACCTCGGGGGCCTACGTGGAGGAGATGTTTGAAGCATGGAGTCTGGATCCTAAGAGTGTTCATGTTTCTTGGGACGCTTACTTCAGGGGCGGAGCTTACCAGGTTAGTGTAAGAGTTAAAGGTTAGAGTTTAATTTTTTTTTAAATTCAACCCCTCCCCCTCAATCTACTAAAATTCATATTTCCTCCAATACAATTGGAATGTTTGTACGTAGCGCTAACAATTAAAAAGTTTTTTTTCTTTTCTGAAACGGGAAAAATCAACGATTTTTTGGGCTAAAAGTATCTCAAAGGGGTTAACTTTCTGGTCCTGATTTTTATTATTTTCTAAATCTTCCAAAATCTCTTATCCAAAATCATTATGTTTTTTCGTAGCGCTATAAATTTAAATAATTTGTTCTCAATTAATTTTTGAATATTAAAGATTTTACAAGTAAAAATGATCGTCAAGGAGGAAAAAACTTGCTGGGTTCTAATTTTTCTTTTTTCCTCTTCCCAATGTTTCAAAAAAAAAATCTTAAATATGCTGTTAATATTTGAATTCATGTAATTACGGCAAATTTCTTAGATTTTCAACTTCTTGTGAATAGTTAAATAATTGTAATTATTTAAGGCTCCTCCCTCTCTCGGTAACTCTACCCGTCCGAACGAGATTCCTCTGGCTAATATGCTCCCAGGATTGATTGGATCAAGCATGATGCAGGGAGGTGGAGCTCCTAGCACTCAGATCATTGATGCTCATCTAGCTGTTCAAGGAACCATCAGGTAGCTCTTCTAATCAATAGCAAGGATCTATGAGGTAGTCCTACTAATTAATAGCAAGGAACTATTAGGTAGTCCTACTAATCAATAGCAAGGAACCATCAGGTAGTCCTACTAATTAATAGCAAGGAACTGTCAGGTAGTCCTACTAATCAATAGCAAGGGTCCTACTAATCAATAGCAAGGAACTATCAGGTAGTCCTACTAATCAATAGCAAGGAACTATCAGGTAGTCCTACTAATCAATAGCAAGGAACTACCAGGTAGTCCTACTAATTAATAGCAAGACACTGTCAGGTAGTCCTACTAATTAATAGAAAGGAACTATGAGGTAGTCCTACTAATCAATAGCAAGGAACTACCAGGTAGTCCTACTATATAATAGGAAGGAATTATCAGGTAGTCCTACTATTTAATAGTAAGGATCTATTAGGTAGTCCTACTAATTAATAGCAAGGAACTATGAGGTAGTCCTACTAATCAATAGCAAGGAACTATCAGGTAGTCCTACTAATTAATAGTAAGGATCTATTAGGTAGTCCTACTAATTAATAGCAAGGAACTATGAGGTAGTCCTACTAATCAATAGCAAGGAACTATCAGGTAGTCCTACTAATCAATAGCAAGGAACTATCAGGTAGTCCTACTAATCAATAGCAAGGAACTATCAGGTAGTCCTACTAATCAATAGCAAGGAACTATCAGGTAGTCCTACTAATCAATAGCAAGGAACCATCAGGTAGTCCTACTAATCAATAGCAAGGAACTATCAGGTAGTCCTACTAATCAATAGCAAGGAACTATCAGGTAGTCCTACTAATCAATAGCAAGGAACTATCAGATAGTCCTACTAATCAATAGCAAGGAACTATGAGGTAGTCCTACTAATCAATAGCAAGGATCTATCAGGTAGTCCTACTAATTATTGGTAAATTCACACATCAAAGAAAACTGACCGTCAACTTCCATACTGTTTCGTCTTTTTTTACATATTTTGATACGTTATTTTAAAGATTTAAATTACCCTTCAAGAATCTATTTTTTAGCAATTGGTTTTGCTACGCTTTACGATAGATTTTCTTTGTAATAAATAAATATTTTTTAATGATTTATATGATGATGCAAAGTATATATACCCTGTTTAATATTTATTTTAACGAAAGTTGCGTTTAGCTGCTAAGTTATCACGTTGTACGATTTTTAAGAGGCTTAATAGAAATTATTAATTATGTAAAATATTGAGATTCCGTGTTCTTCATTATTATACGATTATACAAAAAATGTATTCTTTTCCTGATGAAATATATAGTAGTTCCTTTAGTTGCGTGACAGTTTATTTCTATGCCGGAAAACTAAATTTTTGCTATGAAAGTCGACCCACTCAACTTAACATTCTTAAAATCAAGCTAAGAACATTCCCGTAGTTCTCCCGAGTTCCCCAATCAAATCTGAAGCAAAGCGGTCAAGGGGGTCATGAGTTATGATCGGACATACAACCAGACAAACAGACAATTTATATGTATTGATTCTTATTATTTTCTTAAAATCCTTGATGTGAACAAACCACGGAATTAAATTTACGGAATTATCGGAACTCTTTTATGTCGTATTCTAATTATTTCCCCGGATTTTTCTGTTTAATGTTGGTGGATTTTCAAGAATGGTAATTTAGTCATTCTGATGTTTTCTAGGTCTTACCAGGTCCGTGGACATCTAGCAGCAAACATTGATCCCCTTGGTCTCAACAATATTGACACAGAGCAGGCCAAGAAGATGATCATCAGATCTGTTACGGTCGACTCAAAGGTCAGCCATGGCATGTTTTTAAACACCTAGAGAAAACCTTTATATTCTAATTCACAATTCTTCATTTTTATTAGTATTGAGCTCGGACATATATTGTGGGTCAGAATGATAAGATTTATTAACGACTTTTAGTCAATGTAATTCTGAATTTGAAAAATATTTCAAGCAAGGGGCGAGGGACGTACTTCTCACAGAGGGGTTATTTAAAAGAATGAATAAAGTTTTGGAAACTTTAGAAAATATTTCATTCTGATCCAATTTTACTATTTTTATCGTCAAGATATAAATTAGCATATTACTTGTTGAAACTGAATAGAATAGAAAGGTTTAGTTTTATTGCTGCACATAATGCTTGTAATAGATTTAACATGTTTGCATCGTATCTTTTAGTTTTAATCCTTACATTTTTAATATTAACTATTTTTCAATTTATTGTTTGTTTTGTTTTGTCGTTTTTTGTTTGATTTACTTTCAACAAAATACTAATTCTGTTTTATTTTTTTACTAGGATTTTAAAGAGAAGGTAATTTTTTATTTATTTGGGTTCAATTATAATTTTTTTCTACTTTCAACAGCTTTTCTACTTTCTGTGTTTCCCTCCCCGTTCCCCACATTCCTCCCCCCCTCTTCCTTTCACTTTCTCCTGACCTCAACCCGCTTTCCTTCTGGTAGGGGGGGGGGGGGTCCTCCATTTATCAAATATAGCAAATGAGGTTCAACATTTTCAATAATAGAAATAAGAAGATTTTTTAAGCAGGTGGTTAGTAGTTGGAATATTAGTAGAGAAGGGTTTATAATACACATTGTACATTAAACGACTGCCAAAAATAATTTAAGAAATGTAGAATTATTGACGTTTGTAAAGCCTAACGAATCATTTTTCTTGCCCCTCCAGAGAATTAAATAATTCAGTTTTAATACTTTTAAAATCCTTTTTATCACAGTGCTTAAGATCTGGATCCGCCCGTCCGCTACATGGATCCGTATCCGGGTTTAAGGGGGGAACTATTTAACAAAATATATTTTCAAACCTTTTCGGTCTCAAAACACTAATCTCAACTGTTGACTAACGAGATATAAAAATGTGAAAACCAAATCCGAATCCATATTTTAAACTTACGGATCCGGATCAAAATGGAGTGGATTCTTAGCAATGCGTCTGCTAATTGTGATTCTATATATTCCTGTATATCGTCAATTTGGTTAATTAAAAGTAGTTTAGTAGACCACTAAGTGTTAATCTGTTTTTTTTTATTATTTGTTTTTACAGCATCGTAGACTAGATATAATGTTAGTGTTAGAACTAGGTTTAACTTTAAACTAATAGAGTTTGAATATATATTTGTACTATTGTTAGGACCTGGATACAGTTTATCAACTCCCTCAAACTACATTCATCGGTGGATCCGACACTTCTCTCCCTCTTAGAGAGATTATCTCCAGGCTTGAGAAGGTGTACTGTGGTAGTATCGGAGCTGAGTATATGCATATACAGGACCTGGATCAGGTCAACTGGATCAGGCAGAAGTTGGAAACACCTGGAGCACTCACCCTTGGTAATGATGATAAGAGACGTCTACTCGCTAGGTAATTAATTTCAGAACTCGCCGTGTCGCTGAAAACTTTGTTATACTTCACGATAGATTTTTTCCCGGTTTTTTATTCATGCGGAATAGACAAGGTTTCAGAATAATAAATATAAAACTTTAAATGGTTAATTTTATATTTTTGCCAAAAAAATGTCTTCCTCTAAATTTGAAAATCTTTAAAATCACTCATTTCGGTGCAATTTCTCCTCAAATTAATCTATATTTCGCAGACACAACTCGATATTTTGCATATTTCAGGCCAAAAGATTTGCCTAAAGTTTATGCAAGCAGGGCAAAGCTAAATTTTACCCTGCTAAATATTGAATTTCTAAAAGACTTCCATTTGCTCCTGTCAAGTTGGCAACTTAAAGGGAGTATTCGCGAAAAATGAATGGGGGTATAGACTAACGTCGAAAAATATTCGATGGTGATTGCTACTAATCTAACTTCTATCTGTTGCGTCCAAAAGGAGATAATGGTTAAACACGACTCAAACCGTAGAACGTAGCGTCAATACAAATGTACAAAGTTGCAATATTTGACTCGGATAGTAAAAAAAACCGATTTAATTTCAAACAAATCATTCAGATATAACAACCTAAAATCATTGATTTTTTTCGACGCATTTTTATATAGTTGATACTTATAATATTTTTTATTTGTTTTACATACAATGCACCTAAAACGACGATTATTTGGCCGCCAGGTGTCTACTATCAATTCTCCTAATGGTTCCACGTGACAGATTTACCTAGCGGACAAAAAATCCTCGTTTTAGTTTCATTGTATTCAAAACAAATAAAAAATATTATAAAATATCAACTATATTCGAATGCGTCGAAAAAAAATCGATGATTATAGTTTGTAATATCTGGATGATTAGTTTAGAATTAAATTGATTTTTTTACGATCCGATTCGAATATTGCAACTTTCTGAATTTTTAAACCAATTTCCTCCTTATAGACGCAACAGATAGAAGTAAGAATAGTAGCAATCACTATCGAATATTTTTCGACGTGAGTCTATTCTCACTTTCATTTTTCGCGATTACTCCCTTTAGACAACTTATATTATGAAAAAATAACAACCATCATTTACATCTAAAGTTCCCAAAACATAGCAAATTTGAGTTTTAATGAGAGTTTTCAATAATTTTTATTGTCTCTTGTTTAAATTGTTAATTTGTAATAGACGGTGTTATTGATTGATTATTTGACTCCAGGATCTCCCGATCTGCTGGATTCGAGAACTTCTTGGCCAAGAAGTGGACTGCTGAGAAGAGGTTTGGCCTGGAAGGTGTAGAGATGTTGATCCCCTGCATGAAGCAGGTTATTGACAGGTCCACAGAGCAGGGCGTGGAGTGTGTAGTGATGGGAATGCCCCACAGAGGACGTTTAAACGTGTTGGCCAACGTGTGCAGGAAACCTCTAGAGCAGATCCTCACACAGTTCGCCGGCCTCGAGGCTGCCGACGAGGGTTCTGGAGATGTCAAGTACCATCTTGGAACCTATATTGAGAGATTAAACAGATCAACCAACAAGAATATCAGGTTGAGTGTTGTAGCTAATCCCTCTCATCTTGAGGCCGTGAACCCTGTGGTAGAGGGTAAGGTTAGAGCTGAACAGTTCTACAGAGGAGATACTGAAGGGAAGAAAGCAATGTCTATTTTACTTCACGGAGATGCTGCATTCGCCGGACAGGGTGTTGTTTACGAGACTATGCATATGGCGGAGCTTCCTGATTATACTACAAGAGTGAGTTTGTAGTAAATAATTCAGGGGGAATATTTCTCGGATAAGTGACTCCTCCACCTTGTTTAGAAAATTAAACTACGGTGGTCGACGTTTATATTAATACAATGAAGACAATTTTACTGTAAAAGTTTTTAATTCTAATAAGCATTTTTAAAATAACAAGTTTACAAGTAAACAAAGAGAATTGATACCTTCTTTTTGTTTTGTTACTACGATGTCTGCACCCCTTCCCTACCTGCTGGACCTAAAAGTATGGCTGAACTGTCTTGAAAAATAAAACTGAATCCCATTTTAATCTGCCCATAGTAAATTCATAAAATAAAGCATAATGGACCTTATAAGATATAGTATTTAAAACATGTATGACCCGCATAAAGTTTAAAATGCTAAATTGAATCAATTTATATTTATTCCCCTGATGTTTAAACTTGGGCAAAAGGATTTGAGTAGCATCCGGTCATATTTGGATTCAAAATCGGGTTAAACAGTTATTACATGAAACAGCTTCTAACAAATATAGTTCAGCTTATATCTTCAATATTCAATTAATCAGATTGTTATCAAACATAAACTCTGGGTTTGGTAGCGTAATGTCAGATATACACAAATTAACGATATTTTCATTTTTCATTTTAAGAAAACCAAAAATGATTCACAATTGAAACAAAAAAGATAAAATTTTTCCTTCTGCGTATTTTCTTTAACTCGACTCGTAGATTTCTTATTCAGAGAATATGAAGCAGTTTGTGTTTTTCGAGCCTTTTGAAGGATATATAAATGTTATATTTTTCTATATTTTTAGGGAACTATTCATATTGTTGCAAACAATCAGATTGGATTCACAACCGATCCTCGATACTCCCGATCCTCCCCTTACTGTACCGACGTAGGTCGGGTTGTCAATGCTCCTATTTTCCACGTGAACGCAGACGACCCAGAGGCTGTCCTCCTTGTATCGAACATTGCCGCGGAGTGGCGCGCAACCTGGCACAAGGATGTTGTTATTGATCTGGTCGGGTACAGGAAGTTTGGGCACAATGAGATCGATGAGCCGATGTTCACCCAGCCCATCATGTACTCCATCATCAAGAAGCATAAGAATGTTCTAGGTAAGAAGAATTTTCAGGCGTTTTTTAGATTTTTCAAGATACTAATGTAAAACTGCATATTTCATAGTTTGGTTTGGTTTTATAAAATTGCTTTTTTTTAAACTTCAATTTAAAATAAGCCTTAAAAAGATTCAAGTACTTTTCTGGACATTCAGAGACATTAGTATACACATTTTAAAAGAAAATATATAAATGGTTTTCAAATCTAATGCAGTAAAAAATGTCCAAGCATAAATATATTTTTTTCAATCTGAGTATTGCTCGTTTAACAATGAGTCAATTACACAACAAGAGTTTCATAACGAATACGTCATTTTAACAGCGTTCTTTGATCTATTTTCTTATCTCCACGGCTTGCAATTTTCTTTCCCAATTTGCGTCAAATATGCGAGAAATCTTGCACTAACGTTCTTCTTATCAATTACAATTGTGTGCATTTTATCTTGTTTATTTTAGTCTTTTTATTGTTCTGGAGATTATATATATTTTTCATTTCAAAGCTGTCATAACGCATTAGAATTTCCTTTTTTTAGCTTATTTTTCTCGCTTAGCTCGTATAAAAAAGGTTGAATGTTTTTCATAAGTTTGGGTCACACTTGAGTCATGTGACATAAAAGTCCCGTCATTTTAAAGACATTTTAAGGAGCTTTCTCCCTGTGTACGGTGTAGTGAATGTAAATTCTAATCTATATATAATATGTTCTATGGGGTTATTTAACTATCTTAACTAGGTTACAGGATAAACCTTTTAAGCTTTCTCATTCAAACTTGCAAACAGGCAGATATACATTTGTTACTTAGCCGAGCATGTAAACCCTATAATACCGGGGGGAGTAGGGTTAAGATCCCCCCCCCCAGAATATTGGTTGCTTTAAGAATTTATACAAGGTACCATGATCCCTCCTAGCCATAGAGAATAGAATATATAGAGAGGAATTAAAAGAATCTCTCGGTATGAATTTTTTCAGTCCCTTTCAGCCTAAAAGGGAGTTCAAAGTGTACAAATCATGTAAATGTTCGCAAATTATATGCAGTCGAGTACATTAATACAGTATGTTCCCTAGACTATCCATTTCAATTTCGAATTCTTTAAACTGTTAAATAAACTTTATAAAATGAATTAGGTGAATAAAAATCATCATTTGATTTATAGTTATAACGGAAAATCATCTTTTGTAAAGTGGAAGGCATAGAGTCTATGTGAAATGATCATTGGTCAATTATGAAACCAGCCTATTTCATAATTTTGGTTTCTTTCAACAATAATTTTAGATTTTCTATAAAATTATATTCCAGGGCCCAACAGGTTATATAGCATAAATATGTGAAGTACGCCTGCAGTATGGAAACAGTACAACAAAATGGCCGTTTTACACTTTTTCCAGTAAATTCCTCTCTATATATTCTATTCTCTATGCTCCTAGCGCATTTCAACAGAAAAGGATTTGCGAGGGTGTGGGCCATGATACCCCCCCCCCCCCCCCCAACGGTTGTTGATAGATATAAGGAATTCTCATGAAACTTTGCAGATACGTTAGCAAAATTAAAATTAGGAATATTGTCAACATCTTATATATATAATAAAACTCAACTCTTTCTTTGCTTATACATTGTTGTTCACTTTAGATTGCCAAACGCCTGGACCAAATTGGTTGACATTTATGAGTTAACCCATGGGTACCCCGGGGACACCAGTTAGTACTTAATATAAATAAACACAAATAAGATTATAATCTATTTAGATATTTACTCTGACAAATTGATCGGTGAGGGTGTTGTAACCAAGGAGGAAGTTGATGCTGTTATTGATAAATATGAGAAGATCTGTGAAGAAGCATTCAAGAAGGCTGGAGAGGAGACTCAGGTAATAAATCATATATTCAAGGATTCTTAGATTCTTTTTATTCATCTTCTTGGCTCATAAACCTAGATAGAGTTTATGGAAGGTTGAAGATGGTCATCAGTAAATATTTGTCCACGTTTCTATAATGTCTTCTTCAGAACAAAATATATTTTTATAGATTAAACATGTTAAAGATTTGACAAAGCAACCTGAAAGAGTTAAAAAGGTCACTGGTCAACTGATATAATAAACCAATCAATTACTTACAGCAATTTCTGAGAATATTATCAAAAGCTCAAGAACTTCATTATTCCGTATTATCCCTTCTGTGTTCCACAAACACTGGCTGGACTCCTCCTGTTAAAGTTTATCTATGATTTAATATATTATGTTATCCAGGTGTTCCACAAACACTGGCTGGACTCCCCCTGGTCCGGGTTCTTCGAGGGTAAGGATCCCTTGAAAGTATCGGATACTGGTCTGCACGAGGATACTCTGGTTCATATTGGTAAACGGTTCTCTCAGGGTCCACCCAATGCACCAGACTTCATTATTCACAGATCCATGGAGCGAATCCTTAAGGTGAGTTAACATAAACTTCTTAACTTAAAAAATATAAAAATATTAGTATTTTGTTTGTTTACAAATAATATATTAATGACACTGGAAACTAGAAAAGATTGATTATTTCTTGGATATTTCTTTCTTTACCAACATAGAAATAACTAATATTTCTATCTTATTACTAACTCAAAAACAATTATTCTTTGATAATTCTATCTTATTGTCAACTTATAAATGATTATTACTAACTTGATAAAAGTATTTTAGGATATTTTTTTGTAACACTTATTTAAAAATTAGTGTTTTGGAACAGTCTTTCTTTTGACCAACTTTATGTCTTATTATTTTCCGATTTTATCTCAAATATTCTTTTCTGATACTGATACTGATAAACTTTTATTAATATTTTAGCAATAGTTATGTTCAAGGACTGATGAGGATATAAAAATTTATCGTGATTTATTCCCAAACACAGGTTTTTCTGTGAGAGTGAAAACCTTTTTTGGCGATAAGGACAGTATACACTTCTATCAATATTTCAATATTTAGGCTCGAATGGAAATGGTAAACAAGAGAGAGATTGATTGGGCGCTGGCTGAAGCACTTGCCTTCGGTGGACTTCTCAAGGAAGGAATTCATGTTCGTCTGTCTGGACAGGACGTAGAGCGTGGTACCTTCTCCCATAGACATCATGTTCTTCATCACCAGACCAAGGACAGGTCAACCTACAAGCCCCTAGCAAACCTGTACCCTGATCAGGCTCCGTATACTGTGAGTAACTCCTCCCTGTCTGAGTATGCTGTACTCGGGTTCGAGCTCGGGTTCTCCATGACCAACCCTAATGCTCTGGTGCTCTGGGAGGCTCAGTTCGGAGATTTCTCCAACACTGCACAGTGCATCATTGATCAGTTTATTGCTAGCGGTCAGGCTAAATGGGTTCGACAATCTGGTTTAGTTATGCTTCTACCCCACGGTATGGAAGGTATGGGACCTGAGCACAGCTCTGCTCGTCCTGAAAGGTTCCTTCAACTCTGCGCTGATGATCCAGAATATTTCCCCCCAGAGGAGGAGGAGTTTGCAATCAAGCAGCTCAGCCATATCAACATGATCGTCGCTAACTGCTCCACACCTGCAAACTATTTCCATATTCTTCGTCGTCAGACCGCTCTTCCCTTCCGTAAACCCTTGATTGTGATGACCCCTAAGTCCCTGCTGAGACACCCTGAGTGCAGATCTAGTTTTGATGAGATGTTGCCTGGAACTGAGTTTAAGAGAATGATCCTGGATGCTGGACCCGCAGGACAGAACCCATCCAGTGTTAAGAAGGTTCTCTTCTGTACTGGAAAGGTGTACTACGATCTCCTGAAGGAGAGGAGAGAGAGAGGATTAGAAGATCAGATTGCGATCCATACCATTGAACAGATTTCTCCCTTCCCCTTTGATATTATGAAGAAGGTTACAGATCAGTACTGTAATGCAGAACTCTGCTGGGTTCAGGAGGAACACAAGAATATGGGAGCTTGGACTTATGTACAGCCCAGAACTCAGACCGCCATTGGTGGATATCACAGGTTGGATATTTTATATTTATTCTTACAACTTCATTCATATTAATATACTTTATAAAGATTTTAGTTCTTGTATTCTTTTTGAAAACCTGTATTCCTTCCTCCCTTTAAGATTTGTTTTAACACTTAAATTATTCTTATTGCACTTAATATATCATTTCATATTGTTGATATAATAATACGTATGAAAATACATCTACGAAGGTTAGAGTAAAAATGTACCGCATATAATGGGAGGAATATAATCCAAGATTTATACTACACTTTGAGCTAAAGGAATTTCAAGTATAAATACTGCGGAACGGAGATACTTATAGAACTCACTGTGAAAACATTTTCATGATAATTTACGAGAATAAGCTAGATTTTCTGTTCTGATCACTGCTAATCAAATTTTTAAATCAAACACACAACCCTTAATCTTTAAAATATCGCTCGTCGCTAATATATGTATACATGTAAGCTATAGCTGGCCAAACGGCTGAACCAAATTGGCGGAATTTTTTGAGGAAAACCTTGAGTAACCCTTATTTATATTTTTTCAAAAATCGATTTTTTTTTACAAATTCAAAATTTTAATGCCGGGCACGAGTTTATTATTTATGAATAATATTGTTGTATTTAGGTTACTGCAGTATATTGGTCGTGAAACTGCACCCTCTCCTGCCACTGGTAGCAAGGCAACCCATTACAAGGAGCTGAAACATTTCCTAGCTCAAGCCATGTCCTTGTAGATATAGAGGATAGAGAGAATACAAGATCATAATCCTGGACCTAACATACTTCCAAATATTAAATTATAGTTTACTTTAGTCCAATCATTCGACAAGAAGATATTCTGTAAAATTGTTCCGGATACTCTCTCCTCTGTAAACCCTGGGAACTAGATCTATTAATACGAGTATTTAAATAATATTTAAATCTATTTTGTTAAAGCACTATTGTTAATTTACCGATGGGTATGTAAGTGATATCTGATGATAATATAAATACAGTGAATATTTACTCTTGTCGTATTAATCTTGTAATTCTTGTATTTTCCAACTTTTAATTGTTTTATTGAGAAGAGATATTTGTTGCTTGAGATTTATGCCAGTTTACTATATACACTCTCATCCGTGATTTTGTTCCATCATTTGAGAATACGGATACCAGAATACGGATACCAGAATACAGATACCAGAATACGGATACCAGAATACGGATACCAGAATACGGATACCAGAATACAGATACCAGAATACGGATACCAGAATACGGATACCAGAAAACAGATACCAGAATACAGTTACCAGAATACGGATTCAGAATACGGATAGAATATGGATTCCAAAATACGGATTCCAGAATACGGATACCAGAATACGGATACAAGAATACAGATACCAGAATACAGATACCAGAATACAGATACCAGAATACGGATACCAGAATACGGATACCAGAATACAGATACCAGAATACAGATACCAGAATACAGATACCAGATTACGGATACCAGAAAACAGATACTAGAATATGGATACCAGAATACAGTTACCAGAATACGGATACAAGAATATGGATTCCAGAATAAGGATACCAGAATACGTATACCAGAATACGGATATCAGAATACGTATACCAGAATACAGATACCAGAATACGGATACCAGAATACAGATACTAGAATACAAATAACAGAATAACGGATACCAGAATAAGGTTACCAGAATACGGATACCATAATTGTAATCATATTTTGTGGCAAACATTGAAGGTATCCTTCCTCATTGTAATAACTGAACCTGGGAGATAATTTAATATTTGGAGAAACTGAACCTAGGAGATAATTCTATATTTGGAGAAACTGAACCTGGAAGATAATTCTATATTTGGAGAAACTGAACCAGGAAGATAATTCTATATTTGAAGAAACTGAACCAGGAAGATAATTCTATATTTGAAGGAAATGAACCTGGAAGATAATTCTATATTTGAGAAACTGAACCTGTAAGAAAATTACATGTTTGGAGAAACTTAATTTGGAAGATAATTTTATATTTGGAAAAACTGAACCAGGAAGATAATTCTATATTTGAAGAAACTGAACCAGGAAGATAATTCTATATTTGAAGAAACTGAACCGGGAAGATTATTCTATATTTGGAGGAAATGAACCTGGAAGATGATTCCATATTTGGAGAAACTGAACCAGGAAGATAAATCTATAATTTAAGAAACTGAACCTGGAAGATTGAGATCTGTACAGAGTGCAGTACGATCATCCTGTACAAAGTACATTACACTAATATGTTTGTTTGACTGCAAAGCTTGAAAAATACATTTAATTAACAAAGGTTTACATATTATAAAAGTAATGTTTTATTATAATGAAAAATTCCTTACTATAATGGATAAATAAATAAATAAATAAAAGATTATAGTCCGGTTATTGAACAGTACTAAAACAACGTTTTGTCTTCTGAAATAAAAATGACAATTGATTTTAAATGTAAATCACTAATTTTATAAGTATTATTCTTTTTAACTCTTGAAGCTGCACGTGAAGATTGTTTATACTGTCCATCGGAGGTAAAGTTTGGTTTGGTTTCCGGCTCCGGGAGAAAATTTCAGTCAAAGACGATTTTACAACGGAGTAAGCTAATTGTTTAAGGTTAACAACATTACGCTAATATGTTTTGTTTAACTTCAATTTGAAATCAGATAAAAGAAAGATTAGAACACAAAGCTTAGATACTCCATTTTTATTTTGCATCCATTTTATTCTTCAATATTTAATTTTACATCATTTTTAGCTCTAGTTCTTGTTGTACAGATGTTGTACAATTTACATCTGTACATAGTTGTACATTGCAACAACCCTTCTAATTGTGATAATAGATTTGAATTTCATGAAATGTTGTGGTTAGCAATTTTTTCTCCTAATTGTAGAAATGTACATGTTCTGTAGCGTGTACTGTATTGTGTACAGTGTACATAACCTAGACTATAACTGACATCTGACCGTTATATCTAATTATATTCGTGTGCAGTTTAATATGTCCTCACGCTTATTGTATTAGGGAATTATAAATCAAATTTATACTTAAGCAAATTCTTTTAAGAATTTTGAAATAAAGGAATTGAGTTTTTGCCGCAAAGTCTGATTTTCTATTATAGCTGTGCAACCCAATGTCGTAAAGCTTACATATTTCAAACTAAAATTTGTTGAAATTGTGAACTTTTTATCTTTCGAATTGCTTCCTCTTTGCGAATTTCGCGTAAATATGCCTTTATTTCTCGAGTTTTGTTCCCTAATTTCGACTGGACACCCCATGATGTAGGAGTAGTGTGTCCAAATTGATGACGTTGCCATTTTTTTCCAGTCTTAGATGTTTAAAATATGCAATAATGGCTTCCTCTTCAGGGTGTCCGTCCTCGAATTCTAAATCCTGAAGCTTTTAAATAAACCCCAACCAGAATTCACACTGGGAATTTTTTTAGATCTTAAGAAAGCTTTTGACTGTTGCAACTTAGATATTCTTTTAAAAAAACTAGAGTATTACGGTTTTAAAAATGTAGCTAACACATGGTTTCAAAACTATTTAGTAAATAGGACTCAATATGTTTGTATAAATGGTATTTTNCCCATGTGGAATGAGTTTGAAATCAGATTTGCAGATTCTCTAGACAAGTTTTGTGAATTTTGCGTTCTCTACACAAAATATTTCATGAAAATATTTTTTTAATAAAAAGTTTAAAATTTCTTCTCAACACATCTCAAACATATGATATATAGTTGCAATGTGACACAAAATTACCAATTTACTGCTGATTTAGAAAGTGCTGGATATTTTTTCTCTTTGGACAAGTAACTAATGCATTGGTACATTTTTGACCTAAATTGTTAAATATCTCTTAAATATGAACCAATAGATACTTGTCCCGGAAGAAAAAATAATATCCCACGCTTTCTAAATCAGCCGTACATTAATTGGTAAAACATTTTATTATATTATAAATCCCAATAATCATTAAATAGTAAATCCATTAATTGAATATTTTAATATTTTATATAATACTTATTGTAGAACTAGAACTATATGGGATGGATGTGTACATTTAATACTTCAGGCTAAATATTGGTTCCATGATCAAGAACTAGAGAACCTAGAGAAGAACTGGTTCCTCTTGGCATGAAATTATTTATTTCAGAGTTATTATTATCTCAAGATGTCTGGCTTGGAGAATATGATCGATGATAATATGAGACACTTACTCAAGGTATTTATATTTGAACAAAATATAGAATTATTGTTTCATAAAAACTGATAATTAGGATTTTATCAAGAACTCTGATATTTTAGTTCCTGCCTAAGAAGGATAGGATGTATGAGAAGAGAGAAGACGAGAGTAGATTGAAACTAAGGAGAAAATGCAGGACAAGGTTGTAACACAATCTGGAGGTTTAAATGCTGAGAAGAGGATGAAGGAAAGTGCACTGATGTAGGATAAGGATGGGACGGGAGGAACAAGAGATATCTTGACATTCATTTACCATTCAGTGGGTCTGATCATAGCCCGGAGATATTCTGCAGGCCTAATCAAAACCTGGAGATATCCAGCAGTTCTAATCTGAACCTGGAGATATTTAGCAATTCTAATCTTACCCCGAAGATATTCCGCAGTTCTAACCTGAACCTGGGGAGATATTCCGCAGGTCTAGTCTGAATCTAGAGATTTAAATGTTGAGAAAAGGATAAAGAAGCCAAGTTTACTGAAGTAGGATAAGGTTGGGACGCGAAGAACAAAAAATTTGTTCAACTTCGTATTCCATTTAGTAGATCTAATCTGAACCTGGACATTGAGATATTCACCAGGTCTGATCTAAACCTGGAGATATTGAGAAATTTATCAGATCTTATCTAAACCTGGAGATATTGAGCTATTCAGCAGATCTTATCTGAACCTGGAGATGTTTAGCGATCTTATCTAAGCCTGGAAATATTGAGCTATTCAGCAGATCTAATCGGAACCTGGAGATATTCAGCAGAGCTAATCTAAACCTGGAAATATTGAGCTATTCAGCAGATCTAATCTGAACCTGGAGATATTCAGCAGATCTAATCGGAACCTGGAGATATTGAGCTATTAAGCAGATCTAATCTAAACCTGGAGATATTCAGCAGATCTAATCTAAACCTGGAGATATTGAGCTATTCAGCAGATCTAATCGGAACCTGGAGATATTCAGCAGATCTAATCTAAACCTGGAAATATTTAGCTATTCAGCAGATCTAATCGGAACCTGGAGATATTGCACGTCATGTGTAATTATAAATTATATTCTGGTTCAAATTGCATTTATAATTTAACACCGAACATATTCTGAAATTTATTTTATGATACAAGTTCTATTTCTTACTACAGTCATGATACAAGTTCTATTTCTCTCGTAATTTCTCTTTTTGTTATTCTCCTATTAATGTAATATTTAAATTATGAAATCTGAAGTTAAATTTTAGATTTTTCAGAGAAAGTAAGAAGAAAATGGAGAACATGTTGTCGGGATTAGAGAGAATGGTGTTTTATGATCTTATAGTTGTGCTCAAGTATTTAACTAAGAAGGACAAGATGTCATTGAGAGCTTCAAGTACAACCTTGCGGAGACGGATTGACGAGCTGGAGAAAACTTTCAAGGTTTGGAGGATACATGGAGATGTTGATTCTACAAGACTGAGAAAATTTTCAGACGAGATACATACTATTCAAGGTAACACATTCAACCAGGAGTATAATTGCAGACTTACAATTTGAATACTCTTGAAACAGAAATTATAGCATGTTCAACAATCAACATATAAGAGTCTCTTTAAAAGACAGGCCTTAATTTTGAACAATGTTTGGACGTAAAATATATTATTTTCAATCTAATGGGACAAACAAAAATCTTGTTTTATGTTCATACCTACTTTTATTCACGTTTGAAGTTTGGGAAATCCTCTGATACATTTCAGCTTTTTC